CTCTCTCTCTCTCTCTCTCTCTCTCTCTCTCTCTCTCTCTCTCTCTCTCCCCCTCTCTCTGTGGTGTACGTGTATATGTACACATTTATAAGTGTGCACATATGTGTGTGCAGGGTGTAAGCATGTGTGTGTATGTGTGTATGTGTATGCATATGAAGAACAGAGGTCTAAGCTGGTTATCTCCCTCAACCACTCTTCAATAAGCTAGGAAATAACAATGGAGGTAGGGTCCCTGGCTGAACCAGAACTCACTGACTTAGTTAGGCTGGCCGGCTAGGGAGGTCTAGGGATCTCTGTCTTTGCTTCCTCAGTCCTGGGATTACAGATGTGTGCTACCAGATCAGCTTTTGAATGGGTGCTGGGGAGTCCAAATTCAGGTCCTCTTGGTAGTGCAGCAAGGCTCTACCCATGAAGCCGTCCCCCCAGTCCCTTCCAATATGCTCGGGAGGCATATTCATTTTGGCACTGATTATAACATGAGCTCTTGGTAGCCCAGATAGAAGAGATGTTTCAATGCCAATGCTGACTCTCTTTAGTTTTGGATAAACACAGACATCTATCTGTTATCTTTTCTTGGAAACACTGGCAAGTGTGGGATGCATTAGTAAGAAACACACAGGTCAGGTCATTACAAAGCCTGGAGGGTTAAGCTGATATGCTAAAAAAAAAAAAAATTGCAGTCTTTTCCATATGATGAACCATGCAGTTGAAACCGAGTGGCACCATCTGGACCAACAACCCTGGCAATCCTACTTAATCTCCGTAAGTGACAGATAGCTAAGGTAACACTGGCCCAGATGGCAGCTTTGGCTGCACTGCCTCAGCATTCTGGTCTGAGGCCACAGACATGCTGACATGGAGATGGCCTTTCCAAAGGGAACATGGTAAGACTCTCTACCGGTGTTTAAAATATTTGGGCTATACTTATATTCAAGCAGAAAGATGTGTATCAGTAAGAGTTGGGTGTCTGGCTTGGCTCCAGCATATACAAGTGAGAGCAAGGGAACCTCATCTAACTGGGAAAAGGCACTCTTACTGTAAAGGTGTTTCTCACCAGTCCAGCCCAGCCCCAGCCAGTGTGTTTCTTGTTCCTTGGGTGTGCCTGTTTATCCCTACCACACCTACTCCTGTTCTGGCTCCACACCAAAGAACGCACGTACAGCCCTTCTCTTTAGCTGTCAGGTGTCTTGGAATTGCCAGCCATCCCTTACCACCTTCTCTTCCCTTGTGTGTCGAGATAGGTACACAGTCTCCTGTCTTTTAATTCCTGGCACATAGTAGATGCTTAATGCCTACTTTTTTTTTTGGATTTGAATTTGACTTCTCTTTTTCTGTTTATCCACACCTCTTAGCTCCATTCCTTGGATTCCACCCCATAACTTCCTGATTTTGTCCTTCAAAAGTGTCTGTACAAATACCCAAGAGGCAGGATTGTCTAGTGGAGAGAGCCTGGATGTTGGGATCAGAAAGACCTGAAGTCAAATTGTCACTTGACTACTAACAGCCATTATAAACTCTAGTAAGTTACTCTTCTTTGGACCTTGTTCATACATACATACATACCTTCGTAAGTTGCTGTACAAAATAATCAGGGGTTAAGAGCACTGGCTGCTCTTCCAGAGGACCTGGGTTCAATTCCTGGCACCCACATGGTGGCTCACAACCATCTGTTATGGCATCTGATTCCCTCTTCTGGTGTGCATGAAAACAGAGTACTCATATACATAAAATAAATATATATTGTTTAAAAAAATAATGGGTTTCATCACATGATACCTTTATACATGCATACCATTGTACTTTGATCATAGTCTACATCTTTGAAATTGGTATTAAAATGTTTCTATCAAAACATTGTTGCTAGGACAAAAAAATCAGAATAGATACAGAGGATGTGGCACTGCTTAGCTGCCTAACACCAACTGTTGGATGGTTACTCCTGTCACTCCAGACTTCAGAACAGGTCCTTCTTAACCATTTTATTTTATTTTATTCATTGTGGAATGGAGCATACAGCCAAAAATTTAACCTTTGAAAGCATTTAAAACACAAATACCTGAGGAGCATGAGGTAGATTCTTATAGCCCATTTCAATTTTTTTTTTTTGGAACTAAATTTACTCATCAGAGCCATATTGAGCATGTACAAGTCCTGTACTTCAGGTAAGATACAGTACTCCATTTATCTCTTTCGTAAGTTAAAATCAAAAGATGAAGATGTATACAAAATTTTATGTTGTTTCTTAACTTCCCCAAAAGTGACCACTCTGAGTAAGTATTAGAAGATATTGGATGCTGAAAATGGTAACAACTCTTTCTTTTCTTCTCTATTGTGTTTCTCTGGCTCACAGGATCTGAAAGTTTAAAATAAAGAACAATTATCAATCAGTGTTTGTAAACCCTGAGAGCACTTGTTTACCTGTTTTCAGATTTTACCCTGTCGGGAAACTTCAGTTAAAGTACTGTCTCCTGTGTGCATCTGCCCCATACTGTTTCTGGATTCTATTTGTCATTTACCTACTACTTTGTGACTTTATCATGTTCTTGAATCATCTGTAATAAAAGTATTCCCATTCTTTTTTATTTTACTAATATTAATTTTATCAAAAATTTGAAATGAATACTATCTTATAGTAATAAAACAGAAAAATGAGCAAACCTCACATACATACATTTACATTTTTATTTGATAATTACAAATCTTGATACTTTGTAATAATAAAAATATCACTTATATTTGCATCATGTTTTCAAAGATTTTAGCAATGTAGTTATAGTTTCTAAAATTTAACTGTGTGCTTGTACATGTGAATTTTAGCTCATACATAAAGCTCCAAACTTAAGATATGAAAATAAGATGAAACATTTATTATTTTTCCTTTTGAATCTGTTATTTCAGTTATCATAATAATTTCTAGGTTCATCTATTTTTCTGCAAATGTCACTTTATTTTCATAAATTAAAATAAATTTATTGAGTCTTTGAGGACTGCATACATTATATTTTGATCATATTAACCCCCCTTCTTCTTCCAGATCTATTACCTCTTTCCATACTTACTCAACTTTATGACCCCATTAAAAAAAAATAAAGAACTCATCTAGTCCCAATAGGGCTACCTGTTTACTGTTAGGTATGTGGCCATGCTAGAATGGAGCATGCTAGACCTCCCAAGAGCCAGACGCTTAAAGAAAGCTAACTCTTCCTTTCCTGGCAGCTGCTAACTACCAACAGCTCCTATACTTTCAGGATCATTTCTATAATTTGTTATTCCCTTTCTTTTATAAATTAGATCCATTTATTTAAACAGGAACTTTCTATTTTACTATAAATTGAAAGCCAGGATCATTTGTCTTTAAAGGAAGATTATCATCAAAAGAAATGCCATGGACCAATTATTACTCTCTTGTCAGATACAATTATCAGTGAAGACTGTAGGAGGCTGTTCTTCCTATTGAAAAAAGTGTGACGGAAGTGGTAAAATTATTTCACTACCAATTAGGTCTATTTGTTTCGATAATCCCAAGAACTACAAGAAACTGTCAAAGTGGAGTCCTTTACTATTTGATGTATCTAACATCACCTCTATGCCACCCAGTAGCCCAGCAGTGCTCCCCTGCTGTGGTACTAACTGCCCTATGCAGACTCCTCTGTATAGCCTCTTGTCCCAAGCAGTACCTGCTAGAGTAAATTCAAAGGGACTCCCTCCCCCGCCAGGAGAAGAGGCAGCCTAGGAAGCAGCCCTCAATTGCTCAGATTATGGAAGGTCATGGAAGCAGTATTGCAAAGTTTTACTTTATATATATATCCACACTATATATATACATCATGTATATACACGCAAAGAAAAAATAACCATTTCTAATTCCCTTCAGTAGTGTTGAATTCTGTGGGCTCATGTGATCCACTGAGAATTTCTGATAAGCTCTAGTTCTTTTGCTCACGCAAAAACATGATTGTATTCATATACATATGATCACACATGCACCATTATACAGAGATATGATCATACGTGTGTACAACAGTGTTTTCACAGTTCAGAAGTTGAGGGCACTAAATAGCATTCTGTATGTTTCGCATGTGCCTTACTACACTCATACAGTTTGATTCAGTTCACTGAAAACCATGGTTGAATGTAAAACATGTTTTTGTTTTTGTTTTTTAATATATCTGTCAATGACTAAGAGTAGTGTGTTAATTTAAATGTGCTGAACTGGAGCACTCCTTTCTACTCCATGGCTGCTTTGAACACATATAAGTTTCCCTGATACTGCCTTCCAAAGAGGCTCCAAAAATGAGGTCAAACCCTATAAAAGAAAATTGACCAACCCTTAAAGCCATCCTTGTGAACTTTAAACACCACTGAATGTACCTAGTAAAATTGTCTCTGGGCACGCAGACTCCCAGGCTTGGGTGGAGTTCACATGGGTTGTTTTGCTAAAATAAACAAAAATGACTGAGAACACTGGATTGCTTTTGTCTGAACTTGAGTGTCTGGATGGATCAGCAACAGTAGTGCACAACATA